TAAAAAAAGTCTTTTTATAAAAAAGGTTTTGTAAAGAAAAACTATTAAATATTTAATATCATAAATTATACATCAATCAATCAATCAATCATATATATATATATATATATATATATATATATATATATATATATATATATATATATATATATATATATATATATATATATATATATATATATATATACATATATATATATATATATATATATATATATATATATATATATATATATATATATATATATATATATATATATATATATATATATATATATATATATATACATATATATATATATATATATATATATATATATATATATATATATATATATATATTCTGAAAATAAGTTTTCAAGGCTATTTACAAATATTATTGAAATACTAATCTCTAGTAAATACCTAAATAAAAATAATTTATATATATATATATATATATATATATATATATATATATATATATATACAACTAATCTTAGTAATAATAATGTTAATAATAATAATAACAATAATAATAAAGTAATTATAATAATTTAAATAAATCGGTATTACTTTCCACACAGTAATCATGTAACAAACAAAGTTACAGTTGCAAACAGTAATAAACTGACAAAACGTAACAACTAACAATGACATAAAAACGACAACTGCTGAAGAAATTATAAAGATTTAGTAAATATATTATTATAATCATAGTTGTTAAAATATAACAATCAAAGTATATTGCAAATGTTATGACCAAATAAATAAATAACATATAAACAGAAAAACACTGAGAAAAACAAAACAAAACAAGTTACAACAAACATTAGGAAACAAAACAAAAAACTATGCAAAATAAACAAAACAAAAAACTTAAGATTAAAAAAAATAATAAAAATAATAATAATAGTACACGGTAGAATTAAACATATACAATAAGTGGCTAAAATGAAAATAAAAACAAACAATATCTTACTGTATAAAAAATTTATATACCACTAAAAATGAATAATAACTAAAAAACAAACAAATGACTAACAAAAAATAATAAGTAAAACAATATACGCTAAAAAATTGAAGAAAAGTAAATAATAAAATGAAAAATCTTAAGAAATATATGAAAGAAAACTAAAGAATTGTATGAAAAAATAAATATATGAAACAAAACTATAGAATTGTATGAAAAAATAAAAATCTTGATTTGCCGATCGAAGTTTCGCTCTTTAAATTGTTTTTTTTCATGCTTTGCCATTCTTTTTGTATATTTCATTTATTAACAGTTTTTTTTGTAACTTCTATTTTCGTTACTTTTTTACTTATTTTCTTTCAGATATTTCTTTTTCTTTTCTTCTTTTAAAAGATTTATTTATTCTTCTTTTTTGTTGATTTCATTTTTAGTTTAATTTATAAATATTTTCTTTTCCTTTTTACTTTTTTTACTTTTAAAAAGTTATTTTCAACCGTTTGAAAAAAGCGTCCACCATTTGCAATGTCATTGCAAAGTCAAAGTTAATGTCATCATAAAACTAAATGACACAGATTTATTTTATTTTATCATTATTATATAGAAATCTCATTAAAAAGAATTTAGTATTAAATGGTTACTTCAACAAATATTTTATCAAAATACCTTTATTACGAGATTTTTGCAAACTTTCTTATCTTAAGTAAAACAGAAATGTAAACACACAGTTAAATATATATTAATAAACAAATCACTTTAGTGACAAAACAATAAATAAAAAAATAATTAAAAACCTAATAACAATTTAATGATCAACAATAGTATTTTCTCTTAATAACTAGATCGACAACATTAAAAACTCTGATTACAATATCTAAATTAATGTTAATGCAAAATAATCATTTATTTTAATTTATGACTATTGACGTAGTTGCAGTCCAAATATTTGTCTAGAGATAATAATCAGAGCTTAAATAAACAGCCAAAAGTTTGAGTCTTTAAAAAAGCTTCAACGATAGTGTTTGAAAATACTTAAGGATATTGAAAACTTTAGTTTTAACAAAAAAAAACATTTTTAAACATCTTTGTACTCTATATGTACAAAGTGAAATGCTTTAAAATCTTACACTTAAATAAATTTACAAATCAGCAAAACTTAAAATTATTTATCTCCTTAAATAAATTCATTTCACTCATAACTTTGTAATAATTTGCAAGTAACTTACTAGTCGTAAAGGTATGTATCGAGGAATTCCATTCACTGCAAGAATGCTTTCACTGTAGCTATCAAAATGTGGTTCAATTAAGATTACCTAAAATTAATTAATTTAAAAAAGTAATATTTAGGGTAATGCTAAACTTGTTTTCGAACTTTTTAAAGTTTACAATTGTGCCATATTTATTAAAGTTTTTAAAAAGCATGTTTAATGTGACATGTGATTCAGACTGACACATCATGTGCAATATGTTGTTTAGTTAGCTGAAAAACTGCAACACTAGTTCAATGATTGTTTAAAATTCAAAATTTGCTTAACAAAAATATAATTTACCCATATACTAAAAATAAGATAAAACGTGTGAACTTTAAAAAAAAATTGAAAATATTTACTTTTTTATTTAATATAACCACAACTATGCCACTATGAAGCAAAGCTAAAGGAGCTACAGCAAATGCTACAACTCCAAATACAAACTCTAAAAAGCAAACTTTACTGAGTAACAATCATGATTTAAAAGTTGAAAAGCCGCATAAGCACTAACGTTGGCAAAAAATAATAACCAAGACATTTGACTTAGTTTTGCTTAACAAATCATAATGGTAGCATTAAAAAAATACTTTAGTAATTATTTGTTGTCAATTTTTAATAATAAAGTTCAGCTTAAAACTTATTGTCTTAAATTGGATGCCAAAAATTGGGGCATTTTAAAGTTGATTTTTATAAACACTGTCGGTATTGAAGGCTTTCATTACAGTTAAAAAATTACATAATTTTTGAATAACTTGTTATTGTACTTTGAAGTAAAGTTTCTAGCAATTAAAAATTTTTTTGGGAGTTCATTAATAAAAAATTTATAAAATTTTGAAATAAATATAGGTTATAAAAATTATATAGAATATTTTAATTATATTGTCACATGTAAGAAAATAAATTACTTTATTTGGATATTTCATATTTGAGCTAGTATTTTAACATAGAAATATAAAAAAGATCTAGGTGTAGTACAGAAAAGGTGTTATATGAAGGTTTTTTTGTTTTTTTAAAAATATTCTATCAAAGTTTAGTTTAGAAAGAAATTTTTATTGTAACAATAACTATACAGATATGCAAGCATAATAGTTAATACTATTATATTTATGTTAGCATTTATTTTTATATCCCTAACTTACTTCATCTCCAGGGTTGACAACAGCGTTAATGATACAGTGCAAGGCTTCATATCCACCTATTGTAACCATGACCTATAAATAAAGCAGTTGTTTTATCTAAATATAATAGCTGAACATATGATATGATAAAAACATTGTATTACGACAACTTTATTTATAAGATATTTTGTTTTCCTCCAAAAAATAATAGATACAGCGATATTAAGCATATAACAGAGTTGGTTGTAGTCATTTCTCACATGATAAACTTCAAAGGATAAAAGACTTCAGTTTTATAATGAATAAATATCTATAAAAAAAGTACACAAAAAAAACAAAACACAACCAAACATACACAAAGAGAAGACACAAGCAAAAGTACACACACCAAAATATAGAGAAAACACAAGCAAAAGAAAAGTACAAAAAGGAGACCAAGATCCAAATCTATAATTTTAAAGTGCATATTTTTAATATATCCAATTTATCTTTTTGTAGGTTTGCATCGAAATTAGACAAAATAGAATATGGTTTAAGTGTACCAGATTTAGAAAGTATTTACATAAAAAAGCATTTACATAAAAAAAAATTAAAGTTACTAAACCTTATTCAATAACAAAATTACTGTAAACATTTTTCTTTACCTCTTTCAAAGCATCTATTGATCTATCAAATAGTGGACCGTAAATGTCTGCAATAGCATTCACAAGATCAATATTACCCTGAAAAAATAAAGTAATGCAAATACTTATAGCAATTTGATATAAGCAATAGGGCGGTCTAAAAATATAAAGTTTAAAAATACAATACTCCACAAGGCTATCCTTATTCCATATGCTATTACTGATTTCATTCTAAAATTTGAATAAAATTAAGTAATATTTAGAAGTAGCAACTTTATAAGACTTTTTAAATTCAATATCGAAAATTCAAGTAATTTTACTTATCAGTTTCTGATTATGTAAATTGTTGTTCTATTATACTTTAATGTTTCTTAAACAAACAAACTTTAAAAACATACTAAACAAACTTTAAAAACAAGCTTTAGCTTGATAATATAATCATGAAACAATATTAAACAAAAGTTTCTTAAAAGTCTAGAAGTGTTCTTAGTGAAACATAAGAGCCGTTTTCGTCGGAACAGGAGACTCTTTCTGATGGCTGGACACTAGTTGCAACAGATACTGTTTCTGAGTTTCATCCTTTGTCAAGGAAGAATTAAAAGATTGAATGAGTGCAGCCCCGTTTTCTGCACAATCATTTACAACCTTTAGAACTTTTACACTAGCCAGGAATGATTAGAAGGTTGTGTAAAAAGCCCAGTTGGTCGGATGCTTTGACAAGAAGGTTCTTGCTTCTTCCTTTCCATTTATTGCTAGAAGATTGAAGATATTCAAAGAACGACTAGTGATGTATGTCTGCAATGGTGCACGATAGTCAAAATCTTTGAAATCCAGATATTTGTGTGCATTTGCGTTTGGTGGCAGAAAAAAGTTGACAACAATAGAAGCTATATTATCATCATCAACGCGTTCATCAAAGAGAGCAAGAGCAACAAGTGCCTTCAAAAATTACCAAAAGTGCCGACCAAATGCCTTGATAGCAGACTCTCTGACTTTGATATTTGGGTACTTGTGTAGTAGAATTAGGAGATTTATATCATTGAAGGAAGCTCTTGGTGCAAGAGGAGCTTCACGCCAATAGCAGGCATAGACCAGTGATACAAAAAGTGCAATGGATTTGATTCCGGCTATCTCTTTTGCAGTAAGTTAGTCCTGATCTTTAACTAGAAAAATCTTGATAGAATAGATGGCTTTAGCCATCCATCTGGCATGATGCATTGCTCAGGGTGCACGAAAACTAAATGTGCCTTCGCCTCCAAGGAAAACATAACATAGCTGTAGTACCTCCTTAAAGTCATCACGGGGAAGTTCTTCATGTATCGCATCCTTGAAAAATGATATCATATCTGCACGAAGACCAATGGGCATACCTTCAAAGAGAATGTCAGGTACAGACTTAAACTCATCCTTGTTTATGAATGGCCACATAGTTTGAAATCGTTTAAACAGCCCTATTTCAGGTCCACTGGATGGTCCAAGAACAGCAGAGAACACATTGGGGAGCACGACCTCAAACACGCAATGGCGACAAGCAATCCATACAAGTTTCTAGAGCTCTTTTAAAAAGAATGCAGGCAATGATGCTCAATCCTGTGTTGGAAGCCGTTGTATCGAAGACTAATCCTTGAATCAATGGTTTGAGTTGCCAGTCTTTTAGTGGCAAAGAACAGTGTAAGCAGGCATTACACTGTTCTTCGCCAGTGCCACGTCCAATCTTTGAGACAGCAAGCAGTTGCTCCTTTTCTTTCCCTGAAACAAGAATGGCTATTTGATCTACAAGTTCTTTGTTGTTGCCGGTAATGTCTGGAAGCAATTTTCCATCCCAATGAAGTAGTAACGGATAATCCGTGTTGGCTGAGAATGATGCCTGTTGTGCAGTTGCTACTGCCTTCCGTGTTGCCATACGAGCACGTTTAATGGTACTACGAGACAAAGCCACATCATCTAACTCCACACCGAGCGCTTGTGCCACTGCCACAACAACAAACATGGCATCTCGATCAGGAAGGTCAACTCGGTCAAATGCAGATGCCACTTCATTTGTGATAATAGATTTCTTTAACTTTATTGAAGCTGGTGTAGAATTGGTTGATATTGATGGGATGACAAAATTATCAGCAGAATCAAAAGAAGACGAGGAGGAATTGTCTGAATCAAGTTGAACAAGAGATGTAGATGGGACTGCAGTCTGCTGTGATAGAACTTTCTCCAATCTAGCAGCTTCTAGTGAAACTCTGCTTCTTTTACCGGACTCTTTGTCGACTAATGACTGGTCAATGCTAGCCATGCTGGCACTTGAGGGATCTTCTCGTTGCATTTGGAAGAACTGCTTGTCCTCTTCATTGGTCATGAGTTGCATGGTATCCTTACAGGAGATATCAAACAGTTCTTCAAGATCAGCTTTAAACTGTTCCTCATTGAACCGGCAACCATCTTTCTGCGTTAATCGATGTTTCTTCAACAAACAGTATTTATTGTATAACTTGCAAAGTTTCCGCACTCCGTTGTCAATACGTTGTGCAGGAATCCTAGCCTTCACCCAAATTTTTTAAGTCACATCCATAGCCAGTTTTGAACTTCTAGCAATCGTTAGTCCATTTTCAATGTAGTCGAACATAAAATTTTTCAAGACCGCACTATTTGTCTGCAATCCAGAACCAAGAATTTCCTCTTCACATCAGCCAAACTTGTGGTGAACTTCTGGTCATAGGCTGTGTCATTGTTATTCTATGATATAAAACAATTATCAGAAAAATGTTGAAAAGTACTGTAATTCATTAAAACAGCTTTAAATTATTTAACACAAATATGAATACTGTTTATAAATTCATCAATGGTCTAATAATCGCCAGACAACAAAAAATAACTACGTACTTAATTCCTAAAAATTATTGATCTTAGTTCATACAATGCTTACTTAAAAATAATAGATTAATAAAATAATACATGAATAAAATTGTACATGCTATACACAATTTTAATCAGTCTTTACGTAACAAGAACCCTGTCACGAACTTAAAATAAAAATTGTTCTTTTGGTTGCTACCTCTAAATATGTTCCAAATTAACCAAAATTTGTCCTGAACATTTCTATTACCAAATGGAATGAAGGGAACCTTGTGGAGCAGTATTCTAATAACATTTTTTTTTATTCATTGTATCGTGGACTGCCCTAATAAGCAAGGTTTTGAAATAAGCAGCAATTTTTAAGTAAACCTCAAGCAGCAATTTTTAAACAAACCTCTTATCATGTAAAAACTAAAGAGGTACTGCATAGTATAAGAAAAAACAACAACTTTAAAATAAAAAATTCACAACATTAATTGGAAAAAAACCTGACTTTATTATATAGGTTTCTCATTACACACTTTCTCTCCATTTCTAATTTATATAGTTTGTTCTACTTCTAGTTTACATCATTATTTAAACACATTTATATTTTTTTGTAACTATAAATTGAAACTATTTATTTCTTTCAATCGATACAAATTTTTCTATCTTTTAATTTTCCTTATACCGTAAAATTGCCTAAGTTCAGTTACCATGCATGGTCACACCATTCGGTCAAATGCATGTAACTTTGGTCATTTAAGAAAAAGTATAAAAAAAGTATGCCAAACTCAAATTTATTTTAAACTTTACAAATTTTTATTTCTCAAATAATTTTTGTAATTAAGTTTAAAATTATAAACCTATAAAAAAAAATAGTAATGTTTATATGCAACCCGCTGAAAAAATCCTTTAGCAAAGCAACAATTTTAAAAAATGCATACTATTAACATCTAAAATAAGCAAGTTATTAAAATAAACGATTACGTTTCATCTTAGTATTACTAAGAATCACCAAAATTATAATATATACGAAAAAAAATTATTAATTTTTGAAAACTAATTAAATTTTTTATAAAAATTAGTGAAATTTTGAAATACTCTAACAACGGTTATCCACGGATAAACAACGAAGACAATTAGCAGTAATATTATGAAATGTTGATAAGTGTTGCGAATGTAAAATTTACCAGTAACCTTACCTGTAAATTTACCAGTAAATTTTGACATTTTTATAATGGATACACACCATGGTATTCTATTTGAATCAAAAACTTGTTTATAACTTCCAAATTAACTGACGGTTCTTTGAGTTCTAAAAGTTATCACGCTAGTGACATTTTTTCGGAGATAAAATTACAATTCAAACAAAATTATGAATGCGTTGCGAATCCTGCGACGATTGGTTGTGTGGATCTTGCTGTTCTACTATTGTCAACGATACATGCAAGAATTTCCAATAAACATACAAAGCTCATTTAAAGCAATTTAGTGTTTTATTGTTATTTAAAAAAACTTTTTTAAATTAATTGTAAAATATATTTTTAATTTTAATAACAAGTAGCGTAGCAAACGTGATAATGGCCAAAAAATTATTACTTTAAATAATGATAATAGTTATACTACTTATGTTTGAAAAAGCCTTTTTTTTATGTGATCCTTTTTGTTTTCGTTGTTTTTTTTGAGCCCGGGACGAGGAAAACAACAATGATAACATTAAAAAAGGCCTTTTTAAATATAAGTAATAGTAGAGCCCTCCTTAGTTGCTAGTATTACCTGAATTTTTATCATAATTTTACAATGCTAAACTAATATCTCAAACAAACTCTTCTCTTCTCTGCTACAAACTATTTTTAACTTGACTTTGATATTATTAAAAATACCTTTATGTTTTACTCATTAACAAAAGTGCATGACTTACCTGACCTCTTGTATACTGGTTGTTAAGCACTGGAGCATTAGCTGCTTGTGTAGAAATTAATGCATTTTTTATGGTAGTAGGAACAACTTCTGGAAAATCAGGAAAAGCCTACAAAATGAAGTTAAATAAAACTAAAACCAGAAATTAAAGAGTATTTTAAAAACATTTTTTAATCTTAAAAATGACCTGTTTATTAACCCAACTCAAGCATTCAAGTAAATACATGTTGTTCACACACACACACACACACACAGATATATATATATATATATATATATATATATATATATATATATATATATATATATATATATATATGTGTGTGTATATATATATATATATATATATATATATATATATATATATATATATATATATATATATATATATATATATATATACATATATATATATATTATATATATATATAAAAATATGAATATATATATATATATATATATATATATATATATATATGTATATATATATGTATATATATATATATATATATATATATATATATATGTATATGTATATATGTATATGTATATATATATATATATATATACATATATATATATGTACATACAAATGTGTATATAAATAATAAAACTTACTTGCATTTTAGTAAAAAAAACTGTTTATTAAGTGTGACAAATTTATAAGACACTTTTGGAAAAAAGTCATATATATTGTCATTTAATCACTTCAATCATACAAGAAGGTAGAGAATAATACAATATTTTTATGTACAAAATGTCAATTGCATCTTATGCAGATGCAATAAATGATTTAAGTCAGTTAGTGAACAATATTGTTTACCACTATATGTGACAGCTGTGCCCAAGCATTCTCAATGTTTCAATTTTACTGCTGTTGAAATATTCCTTTACTATCTTAGCTGTATAAACGCTAGCATTATCTTGCTGAAAAACAAAATTTTCACTACTTATTACAGATGCTTCACGTCTTAAAAATTCTTAAACAACTAAAAGATAATCCTTAGCCTTCATTTCTCTGTCAATAAAAATGAATTTTTGATTTATGATACCAAATCGAACATCAAATTATTACATTACCACCACCCATTTGAAGTTGTTGTTGTGTTACTGGTTCTTTACGCAAATGGTGAAAATAATATTCCATCTATCCAGCCCATGAAGACAAAATCGTTTCTAGTTAGAAAAAACTATTTGTTGCCACTCTTCTTTCCATGCTAGGTGGTCCTTTGCAAAAGTTACTAGATTGTTTATGTGATTTGTTGTCAAAAGTGGTTTCTGCTGAAATGTTTTGCGCAAAAGGTGAAAAGC